TTGGAAACGCAAATATTCACTGTACAGTGCGAATATGAAATAATTCAAGATAAGTATATAGCACTACATTGGTACGAGCTATTTTAAAAAAATAAATAAATGTTATGTTAACGGAAAGTACATTAAGTTGTATTCCTTGTATAACTATTAAATATAAATAAAAACCTATTAAACTAATAGATACCATATACAAATTACATAAATGCCACTCAATATAGTAACAAAATGAGTTTCTTCAAAATCTTCTTCCTAGGCCTAACATTGAATCTGCTATAACGGATTTAGAAGTAATTAAATTCTGTTAATGTTTAAATCTCATTTAAATTCCGTAATATAAATATACAGTTAGAAAACTATATCAATGTGAGTATATAATTTTACCTACATTAGAGAAGAAGAAGAAGAATCATTAATAGTAAAAACACGGACCTCCGCGCATAACTGAAACAGATGAAGCACAGCGATAAAAAGGCCCACAAATAAGGAAGGAACGCGTCGAAATGTATTAATAACAGATTTAACGAAAACTAATCATAAATCTATGCTACACACTCATCTAATATACATTTGATTACACGTATTTCCATAAACCCTTACGAACCCAACTGGAATAATATAAAATACACTCACCGAACTGTGCGTTGTGCGTAGTGTGCAAATGGAACAAAAATAAAATAAACAAAAGACTCAAGACACAAACTGTGCTCTATGCGTTAAGTACGGTAAGCTTTATCTTGCATCTTCGTTTGTAAACATGCGTACGCATTAGAAATTTCTTGATATTTAATAGTCTGTTTCTAGAAATCTAATTTATTTTTATCACTTTCCAGACAGCCACTGCAGTAAGTTGTAGACATAACAGCGCATTAATTAGCCTCTCACATTAACTGCGTTAGATAGATAGATGGAATAATAGCGCGTATCTTATCCATTTATTGCAGTTTAAACTTAACAAATAGTTCATTACTGCTCGCCTTAGCTACAGTCAATGGTTGTTGCTACAGTCAATGAGTTGATGCTACTCATCAACAGCTGCGCTTAACTTATAGTTAGATAAGCGAATAGGCAGCAATAGATACGTTATGGAGATTGAAAAATGTGTAGGTTTATAATGCATTCATTCGAAGTGTAACTTAACTGAGATTTTTTCTTGATTTTTGTTTGAATTGCATAATCTTCAAAGTTAGTCATAATTTATTTAAATATTTTTTAATGCTTTTGCCTTTGAAAGAAACAATACTGAAACTAATTCGCTTAATTAATTAACATATTCGCATCAAGTATGGAGCGAGGGCATACCATATATACTTAAGGTGAAAAATATTGTTGTAATTTTATATGCTTTAAATGAAAAATTTTAATTATGCCGAAAGTATAGATTGAGAATTTATATATCAGATATATTCAATATCTGCAACGAGTATGCAAATAAAATGAAACACTTCCATTGGCGCGATTTAAAATGGCTTAGATTTGTGAGTGGTGAGTGTGGTTATCGTAAGGGGCTTTTAATTTAATTAATTGCATAAATTAAATTTAATTGAATTTGTTTAAAGAATTTTACTTTGCCATTTCGCATGATATATGAAGCCAATAAATAATATCCAATTACATTTAATTACGAGTTTCTCCTTTGTGGTTTGTTTGTGTACGCGTGCGTTTAATTTGTCATGTCATGCCCGACTGAAATGTTGTCACTGCAAAGATAAAAAACTGCAACAATCGCCACAAAAACGAAACACAATAATTGTTGCAAATCATTCATAAAAGGTGCAAAATGACTTGAAATTAGCTGTGTTTTTTTTTTTATTCTTTTTTTAATTAAACATTTTTTAAGTTTACATTTCGTTGTCAGTAGATTGTATAAGGCGTTGTACTGCCTGCTGACACGCAAATTGCATCTGAAATATTTACGCACAGCTGTCATAGCTGCAGACGCTTGAAATTTTGTATCTGAATAAGTGGGTCAGGCAAGGTCGTTTTTTCACATTCAATTTCGGTGCTGAAATTCATTGAATGAAAAAAAAAATGATTAAAAACTTGTTGTTGTCATTTGTGGTTAATGCAGTTTCGTTGCTTTAACTGCAACTGGAAATTATAATGCATCATTTTAAGCATTTCAAAAAAAAACTTTATTCGTTTTGCATTTTAAATGATTTATTTCGTTTTAAAGTAAATAATTTAAAAAAACGGTTGCGCCCAAAATGCCATAAAAATGTCATAAAATTAAAAAAAAAACTGAAACTAAGAGAATTAAAGATAAAAATTGCGTTAAATTGTGCCCACTGCCGCTATATTCAATATCAGTTCAAAAAGTATCTCACAGTTGCTCTGATATCAAGTTTTTTGCAGTCTTGCTTTCGTTTGCTACTTGTGGAATGCGGTCCTGCGTGGTTTGCTTCTTGCTCATAATTTAATCTCGAATTAATTAATTTCATTTATGTAATTTGCAAATCATTAAGCTAAAGTATTTTTATCTATTTATTTTGTAACACTTTCGAACTTGATTCGTTAGTGAAATATATAATATTTGATTTTACGCAAATATTTCAATATATAGTAGAGCTATGAAAAGCAAAAATATGCACTAATCTTTTGACAAATAAATACTAAAAACACTCAGTACTTTTTTATTAAAAATATTAGATGTGATCATAATATATAAAAAACATTAATAATATTTAAAGATAATAGTACAGATAAATACTTTTACACGAACAAACTTGAATACACCTTGGGCTACACGATTATTTGAGGATATGCATCTATCTTTAGATAGGTAGATGGGTGACGGAAGAATATCTTCAGACAAGTTAGTAGGTGCAAGAAAGGGTTTCTCGATATAGTTTTGAGAGTTCGAAAATTGTTTTGGAAAAGCACTCAGAACTTAATAAAATAAAGTAAATGCATATATAAGTGCTCTCCAAAGGAGAATATATACCAGCATTCATAAGCGATATTCACAGCTAATGTCTAATCAAAACGTAAATAGAGAATATAGAAAAAAGTGTTAAAAATAATTATTATTATTTCATTACAATAAAAAAGTCCAAACTGTCCAATCATTTTATATAAAAGTAATATAGAAAATTTATTATTGACAATAATTCAATAACGCACAGGAGAACAGTACCCATAACAGGAGAACCCATAATGTCCGGTGCCTAATAGATTGCATTGCATTTTTTGCATAATCACTATTTTCATACTCAAATATAAGTCATTTAATGCTGTGGACTTAAAAAGACACACAATGAAGCTATCAGGAAGTGAGAGGTAAAATAAATTTACACATCAATGGTTAAATAGTTCAGATCAATAAGAAGTAAAATAATAACTTATCCTAGCAAGGGGAATATCAATTTAGGTATTATCGCTAAGCAGGAGGATAATGTTTATTTGAATTACAAGTATTACTTAAATAGGTTAACCTTTTTGGTCACTCATATCTATAAGTTTAGTAAAATAAACATTGAGGTTCATATTCTTTGTGAATGTTCTGTTCTTAGCATCCCTGTATCCTGTACCTCTTCTAACAAATGGTGGTTTTCGTTAAGAAGAAAAATTGTGATACATTTCATTAATTTATTATAACACAGGAACAAGTAATGAAAAAATTAATTATTTAAAAATTAATATTGACACAAACATTTTTTTTAAATCATTCGAAGTACTATTCTCAATATAAATTAAATGTATTTATAGATATTTTTATATATTCATACAATACAATTTAACAGGATAGAAAAAATAGCAATAGCTAACTACACGAATAAACAATACACCAAAAAAAAAAAATTGGAGAAGCAGAAACTAGAAAGAAAAAAGTGCTATTCAACTGCACTATAACACTTTAATTTCTGTAGAACTTCTCTGTAAAAGCAAAATCAATGTTGTTAGACTATAAAGTTATATATTCTAGTATTAAAAATCTTTTGTGCCACATTATAACTCAAATAGTTTGTGAAATTATTGAAAGTATAATAAATTCACACTTAGATATTCTAAATACTTTATTATATGAATTTTGTATGTATCTTTTTAAAGACTGGCTATTGTAGACACCGAGTAAGGATCCACTTAAACTTATTGGTATAAAAACTAGACAGTAAAGCTAATAAAGTATCTAATCACATAATTCTATATGTGCTAGCAAATAAGTTAGGTTAATGATATGGATTGTATAATCTCCTCTTCTAAAGATGGATGTTAACAGGATGTTAAAAAGGTTCAATCACTTAAAATTAATTTGTGTTTAGGTATATTTAAACAAAACTTTTCAAAATTGTTGCTTTTGGCTTCGAAAAGATTTTATGGTGCAATAATATTATATAAATTCTTGTATAGAATCGAACCCATCAAGTAGGTGATGCATCAAGTACAATTTCTATGATTCGAACGCTTATAGCCTTTAAGGTAAAAGCTTCCCGGAAATTATTTTAGCTTAAGTCACTTTTCAGTTCGATAGGGAGCAACATGTTAAATTAAATAAAAGTAATGTAGTAAAAAATCCATTAAACAGGTGATGGATAAGGTATGCCATGGATAAGTTCTATAGTTAGGATAGTCATAGCTTTATAGGTAAAAACTTCCCGCAAACTATTTTAGTTTCGGTAAGTTTTTACTCTACAAAACTTGCTATAGTAAGTGAGAGTGAATAAACTATCTGCAGGATATGCAGGAAGTGTATAATCAAACTAAATTAAACTAAATATTATGGCGCTTAATGGTATATATATTAAGAATATTATGTGTTAGAAATGATGCTGTGCTAGACACTATACTTGTCTTCTATCTTGCAGCAAAATTAGTATAACCTTGTACTGAATAAACCAAATATTCATAGTTCCTTTTTATCATTCGTGGAAGGTTTATTTTAATTTTAGTTAATTAAAATTACTATAAAATGACCTTCGGAAATTAATAAGATTGTCTTGCAATAATCTTAACTGATTATCGGTAAATAAAATTAAATTTTAAAATGTTAAATTTAAAGTTACCTTTAAAATGAGTTGTTTTATTGCTGATGATTAAATCCAATTATGAAAATGTAATTTTAAAGTTGAAACGCTTTTAACTAAATTTGTTTCCATGGATTATGAGTTTGGATTGTATTTGCGGTTAAAATTGGAAATATTGATGAATAAATTAAACAATGTTATATATATATAACATGTTATCTATAAACATAACACTATCCACTTTATTCAGCACAGATTTAAGTGATTTTTAAACTATTCTGTATTATGAAATGTATCTTTACTCGTCTTTTATGCTAATTTTGTTTTTGTAGATTTAAGAAAAACTGCAGACAGGATGTGAAGTATGCAATTTCATTGCATGCAATCTTTGATTATCAAAATTTGTGTAAATTTTTGCAATGTTTGCACTTTACAATTATTTTTTTATACTCTGGCAGTTTTTTATTCTCAACAATTTTGTATCTAAACAATTTGGTTTCTCGACACAATATTATTTGTTTATTATATTTGACTTATGTGAACAGATTTGTTTAATTAAGAATTCCAATTTGAATAAATTATTAAAAAATCACTTTTTGTTGCTGATTTACACAAAATTTAAAATTTAAGAACTTTTAGAATTTTTTATTATTTTTTCAAGAGGCTCATTAGGCCATACAAAGCCTTTATTTGTTGGAACTCATATGACGGTTCAACGGTCTTAGCTGTAAGCTGTTCATGTCACTTTATACCGGGACGACCTTGTGTTTATTTATTTTTCGATCCACTTAAATCATGCAAAGAATGATTTTTACTTTTTCTTAAATTTTTAATTACAGGAAATATATGATATGTTAGGTTTGCATAATTTTTTTTTTTTTTTTGGATCATAAGCCGTATTATTTTTATGATGGAGCAATTTTTTTTAACTCACATCAATGGCACCACTTCTATAAAAATAAAACAAAAAATTGACGAAAACAGATTAAATTCCAATGTGACTTGAGATTTTTGGCACAAAATCTTTACTTCTAAGTTAGCAGTGATTTGCTTTGTTAAGCTGCGGCCTTGATAAAAATTCCTCTGAATTGCTGTGCTGCTTCCTTCACAGCAGCATATGGAATTCAAGTAACACGTCACGGATACGCCTTCGAAACGGATTTTTGCAAAGCCTTTAGCATAGGCGTTACATACAACGAAACTTTAGTTCGAGCACAAAATTATAAAAAATAAAAATTAAAATATATAATTTATGTATTTCTGTTAAGCTTTTGATGTGTAGCAGCTACTTTAAAAAATCCAGTTGGAATTTTTTTTTATTCCTCAACCAAATTCAGGTAAGAAATTTTGCTTTTGTTTATTTTTAATTGTATTTTTTTTTAATTTTTAATTATGTTTTTTTCTAAGCACAGTTTAAATAATTTAAATTTCTCATTTTTATTCTGACACCACTCATCCGCGCACTAAACTAATAACGTTGAAGCCTCGAATTGATACTGGCAGCCAATCGACCAGAAAGACGCGTCTGAGCTTCAACGGCGTTCGTATCTTGCAGATTTTTGTTATTCAAGCTGAACGCTCGTACGTACCGACCATTGAAGCTCAAATCAAAAAGATCATTCAAGCAAGAGACAAAGAGCACAACAAACAATTTACATAGTAGAGTGCATATGGAAGCAACGCTTTGGTTCGTTTCTTAGCGAAGTTCAAAACTTGCAAACGATATATCGTTCGAAACTGGTTTCATGCTGTGCTCTCTTCTGCTGTCTTATAATTTTTCCTGCTTCGAAATAAATGAACTTTAGGCAGTTCAAAGTAAACAAAACATCGGTTGCTCTAAAGCAGTTACCTTGAGGTTCGATGTTAGGTTCGATGTTACGACTGAGTTTTACATCAAACACAGAAGTTGGTTGGATTGCATTTGTTGAGTTGATTCGAGACTCGTTTATTTCAAAGTATGAACAGTAAACGTTGTGTACTGCTGCTAATTGCAAAAAGTGTTTGATATTGTATATAATTATATTGATTTTCACTTCGAATTTAAATAAAGATACAATAATCCCCCCTATAGCTCGGTACTCTTATAACGCGTTTTCATATTACGCGATTTCAATCCCCCTTATAACACGGGCATTCCCCCATATAACGCGGGGATTTGTACAGTTCATAGTTAGCTTCGCGAACCTTTGCACTTGTGTATACGGGGTATACGGGAATATGCCTATAACGCGGCACCAATCTACAGCGTTATAGGGGGGATTACTGTATTTTTAATAGTAATATCTCTGATAACTGATGCCTTATTTGGTTTGCTAACCAACAGTCAAGTAGAAATCCAAGCATTAAAACCAAAAACATTAGATGGGATCACGACTGATAATAGAGTACCTGCATAAGTTTAATATCATTGGTGAAAATTATTAGAAATGAATACTTCGATATAGGTTACAAATTACGTTGGAATTGCTGGCCATAAAATAGCAGATACTTTTGCAAGAAAGGAACAGCTGAGATAGCTCATTATTCCGGGTCACATATATATATATATATATTTTAAATGTTCAAAAAGCTAGGGCGAAGGACCTAGTAGTCCAGTTCCTTATTCTTAAATAAAATAAAAATTAATTTTAGTGTTAATTCGCAAATAAATAAATAGTAAAATTTGAAAAAAAATGGGAAAGTGAATGGTTTCGCATATATATAAATAAATATAGGGTCACAAACCAACTGTCTGGAAGATGGATCGATGATCTAGTAAGCGACCCATAACATGGGTAAGCGTGATCGAAAGTTCTTAGTAACAGATTGGAATAAATTCAAATGCTTGTACTATGCTAGTTAATGTATTCAAGTTCTGAACCTTCTGAAGTTTTTGCTGTTGGACCAATGTGTACGTAGAAGAGAACAACCTCTAATGAATTTATTCAGCAATTTTTGATTTCTTTGTATTATAGCAGAATTATTATAGCAGAATTATAATTCTTGCATTATCGCACAAATTGTTTTAATTGTCTCTAAGTTCATCTCTTTAATTCGCGTGCATCACTTAAATTTCTGATTTCTACTGCTCTCAGAATAAAAAAGGGATGTGAACGCTCCTTCTAGGCTGCTTCTCTCGAAAACCATAAATTTGTTGTGTGAAGTAGGTACTACTTAAATTTTATTCCATGTTAGAATTACTACACTACCATCTCATTCCGTACTCAAAAGGATATCCCCAAATTTTTTGACAAGTTCCGCTATTTTAATTTATATAATGAAAGCAACTCATAAAAAAATGCATAGATGAAATGTGATAACACTGTGTATCACTCATCAAATATAGAAATTGAAGAATAATAGGAAACAATAGGAAAAATTCTAATTCAGTTATAAAAATAGAGGGTTAAAACTTATTGCAGATATATGTAGATAGATGTTGCATTGATTAGGTTGCATATAAGTATAAAATCAACAATGAATTATATGGTAGTTCTATGATTCGCGGTGAATATTAAAGGAAAGATATGTATTTTTGAAAACAACCCTTAAGTATATTTTTGCGTGGAGTATATTTTCTATTCAATGAAAGGTATAAAATTCTTTTAAAAAAAAACAATCAATGCAAAATGCAGAAAATGTCTAGGAATGTATAAATGAATTGAAAGGTTACAGGGTCTCTTTAGAGGTCAAAACATTTTGAGTATTTAATTTCATAATACAAATATGCGTGAGGGTTGTCTATTTATTTATTTAAAAAAAAAGAGAAGCATCGTAAGATATTATTCTACTTGACTTCACATCATTTATAGAAGAACAAGCGAAAACAAAATGTTGAAAATATTAAAGCGTATATCTTGAAAGATGTAGGAGTAGAGTATATTAGAAGTATAAAATTATCATAACAATATATTATATAAGGTTGGTTAAAAAGTGATCTTAGTAATTTTATACCTTTTTTCAATATTTGATCAAATTTAATATCACCAATTTAATTTCCTTGTGGAGTATTTATTCTGCTTTCATTAGTAGAATACCCAAAAATTAGAAAAAAGTACTTTGATAATTTAAAATGTCGGAATTTAAAACGGAATTTATACTCGACTTTTACAGAACATAACTCGATCTTAAATCTACTCCAAACCACTCTTCTGAGTGTAACTGAGACATCAGTTACAATAATACCAATTTCTGAGGGTGCACTCGTTTGAGGTCCGACATTGGAATGATGGAATATATTTGTTTTGTGCTTTTGTTTTTTTTATTATTTCCTGACTTAATCATTGATCGTTTGGCTGTCTGACAGTAATTCAAGATATAAGATATAATCTAGATATAATTAATTAAGATATAATTGTAATCATACTTCTGATGCTCTTCAGGCATGGATCTCGCCAAAATCATGATATTTAAGATTATGATTTCTTTAAACTTTTTGGAATGCTGTTGTATTCTGTTTAAGGAAGTGGTTAATTGCATTTTGAAATTTGGGAACATTGGCTCTGTTCGAAGAAATATATTGTCTGTCCGAAAAGATGGATTGCTGACTCTGTTTAAAAGCAGACGAGACTTTCAGTCAAATTCTCTGTTACTGCCCCGCCTTGAACTGGGTTAGGAGGAGGGCACTGGGTCGAGAACTATTTTTCCCTTCTGATATTAAACGGTCCTCAACGACCAATATTCTTTTGCAGTACAAAATATCAACCATGGTCGTAGAGCTCCGCTCCATTGGGAGCTGGTACCCCGCTGGTATTCACAGTCTTAAACACTGGCTCATTATATTATGTGAAGCATTCTTTCAATTTATTTGAGGAGCAGAAATAGATCTCCCTTATAGTATTGATCATGAGATGTTTTCGACTCTTTAAGGAATCTTATGTGGTTTTCAATTGTTGTATGTGTTGCACTCATATAATAGTAGCGAAAACTAAACGATAACCAACAATCATGTGGACTGGAGATAACGCATAACCAGAGCTATTTTGAAATAGGATAAGTTTAGGAATTCTTACTCAAACTGAACTAAATTCTTTGCCAATCTAATAAATTAATATGAATATTATTTACTTTCCATAAAATCTTAAACTCAACTTGCGTTTTTCGGTTAATTAAATTTAATTTAAATAAATACAAAAATTACTTTATAACTTTTTTTAACGAAAATTCATATTTATTACTTTATTT